TTAAAATTACATCAAGTTTATTAAAAATTTACATTTGTAAAATAAACAAAAACTTCTTATTAAGAAGAAACTTAATCGTGATACCTTTGTAATGATATTAATCTAATTGATTTAGTATTAATACCAATTAAATTACAGACCGTATCATCCTCATTGACTAATGCTCCTTCTACCATTAATGGCGGAGGACATAGAACTTGGCTTGTCCCTATAAGGTCAGTCGAGAATTTGATCAGTTTATTTTTTCAGAAATGATTTACCATCCGCAGTATAATTATTTAAATCCGCACATCCCACAAATTGAACTTAAGACTTATTTAATGAAGGTTAACGTCTTAAACAACTAAACTAAGAAAACTCAAGTTCTAATAATTAAATAAATTCAATTCTAGTCTTTCTGATTTAAATTTATTTGCACGTAAATTAAAACTAAATTAAAAATTTCCATTTTAAGATAAAATATTAAAATTTACAAATTAATCATCGTTAAAAAAATCTTCTACTAAATTATCTAATCTTAACCTTTTACTTGAATGATCATTGTTATCATCAATTTCGTCAAAAGTTCTTTTCACAATATCAGAAATATCTTCCTTTTGTAAACTACATATTTTTTTATTAACTATTACATCTTGATTATAACTATATCATATTATCATTTCATCATCATTTTTATAATCAATATTCTGACGATAATATATATAATTATCTTCAAATACCTTCCCTAAATTAAATTCATATTTTTGAGCTTCTGTTAAATTAACATTATCAGAAAACCTAACGTCAAATTCAAACTTATTAAATTTCTCTTTCCATTTTTCTAATTCTTCTTCTGATAAACTATCATCAATAAAAGTACGACGAATTATTCCTTCTCTTTCATAATTTCCCTCAAATTTAATTATATAACCATTCGGATATTAAAATCTTCGATATAATGCCTCTTTATGTTGTATATTTATAAATTGTCTTCCATCTTTTGTTTGAACCATTTCCTCAAAATTATTAAATATTTTTTCAAATTCATAATTCGAATTAAATATATTATACATCGTAGCAATATTAGTTCCATCAGAATCAAATTTAACATCAACTGGAACTTCATCTTCTGCTGTTAATTATAAAAATGTTTACCATTTAATAAATTGAGGATTTAATTCATTCATTAATAAAACTCGACCATTTTTACTTAAAATATTTTTTTTACTCCAAAATGTCGATTTATTTTTTGTAAAATGTAATGGAAATAATCTTTTCGCTAAATACGATTTTCCAGTTCCAGGATCACCGTAAAAGAAAAAATTTAAAGGTTGATAGCATTTAGGATAATCATTTTGTTTCAATCGTTCCTTACATAAAAAATACTCTTTAATAAAATTAGTCCGCAACCATCCTTTATATAAAACTCCATATTTTAAACAAAACTATCAAAAGATTCAATATTTTTCATATCAATTAACATTTCATCTTCTAATATTTCTTGATCTCTCTTTTTCTCTTCTTCAGATACATGATCTTCAGGATCTCCTGTTTCAAAAGGACCAATTAAATCAACTAAAGAATAATCATAATCACAAATTTTTGTTTCATCTTGAGAAATAATTCTAATACAACTTTCTTTACATTCTTCACAACGATGTTCTAAATTATCATAATCACATTTACAACCTTTCTTTTTATGTTTCGTACATCAATCATATTTTTTTGTACAATAATCGTAATTATCTTGATATGATCCTATCGGATTTTCAATATGAATAGTATTATCATTAAAAATTTTTTTTATATCAAATAAACCTAAATATTGATCAAATTGAACATATCCTTGTATATGAGGTTTACCATTTTCACCAACTTCAATTTGCCAAATAATATATTTAATTTTATCATCTTCAGGTGAAAATTTCTCTAAATTATTTTACAATGTAACTGTACATTTATTATCTTTATAAAATTTTCTACCCATTAATGATAATTTTATAAAAAGTATTTTATTTAATAAATATATTAAAAAAAAAGTAAATATTACATAAAAATTCTTAATTAGATTTAATTAAATTTTAGCAAAAATCTTTATAACTATAATAATTAACAAATCTTTCAATTAATAATTTTTTAAACATAGAATTCATTGATTTAGAAACTAATAAATACTTTCCAACACTATCATTAAAATCAAACCTATTAATAAATGGTAAATCTCCATATCTAACTCTATCACGTTCTTCTAATACTTCTTCTAAATCATCAATTATATAATAAATAATTTCAAACATAATTTCATCAGATAAATTTGGATTTTTTAATTTAAAATACCATTTTTTAAAAATAGATATTTCAATAAATTGATTTGATAAAGATTCTTTAATAAATAATAATTGTAAATAATTAATATCAATTATTTGTAAAAATTTGAAATAAATATTCCTTTTTTCAAATTTTGTTATGATAAACATTTTTTAAAATTATAATTTAATTTTACACAACACAAATTCATAAATTATTAATACTTATATTTAAAAATTTATTAAAAATTTCTATATTTAATCTATCTTACCCCATGACTTTCTACCATATTTATCTAATAAATATATTTGTCGCTCTTTCATCATCATTCACTTATGTTTCGTTGGCATCTTTTGCATTATTTCAACAATCATTTTTATTTTCGCTGTTCGTATTTCTTCAATTTCTTCCCACATTTCATCACCTTGAATTTCATTAACTCTATCTACTAAATCATATTTTTCTTTAACTAATTTCAACAATATACTTTTATTAAAACGAATTTCACCCATTTTCATTTTTTCTATTTTATTATTAACACTATCTAAACAAACACCTAAATTTTCTTCCCTCATTACTTTTCGAATCCTTATACAATCTAAACCACCACATTCAAAATTAGCACAATTAACATATTTTTCAATAGGATCATTCTCTAAATCATTGATTTTTTCTTGACTTTCTCTTTCTTGTTCATATCTTTCTTTATGTTTCTCTATTTGTTGATAATAATAATTATTACATGTTTTCCGACTTTCAAATTCTTCACTTTTTTTATAAACTTTACATTTACTACAAAATAACATTTTATTTTGATTATTTTTTTTTATCAAACATTTTTTACATGTTTTATTCTCATTTTCAAAATTTTTTAAACTTTTAAATTCTTTACAATTAGAACAACATTTAGTTTTCATTTTGTTTATTTTTTTTTTAATTTTCAATCCAATCAAAATAAACAACTATTTAAATAAATACAACAAAAAAATAATAAAAATTTAAAAAAATAAATAATTAATGATAAACATATGTTTAAAAATAAATAATTAATAGTAACAAATACCAATACCATAATTCATCGTTTAAAAAATAAAAAATTAATGTCAATAAAGACCATAATTCAATATTTAAAAAATAAATAAACAGTAAAAAAATCATTAATTAATATTTATATAATTTTAACTATCTTTCAACTATCTTTCAACCATAAATATCATTCAAATACCACCCGCTCAACCCGCTCAAACTATTATTTTCTGAATGAGCGATAAAAATTATTAATAATTTATTAATAAAACCACCCGCTCATGAGCGGGTTTGCTTTTTGTTTATAGAGTTTTTTGGGGGGTAATACTATTAATATAAGCCTCCTACGAGGGGTTAAATGTCACAGTATATAGTAAATTTATATTTTTTTAAAAGAATTCAAATGAAGTGAATTTTAATTTTCTTAAAAAAATGGGACAGTATGTCAATATATAGAGAATTAAAATAAATATTAAAATTACATCACAGGATGTTTTGAATATTATAATCAAATGAGATGATGAATAAACATTTACTATGCGTCTGTATGTACGGACATCAAGACGCATGAGAAACAGTTGAATATATAGCAAAATATTAAAAAAATATTAAAAATTTCTTTTTATATTATGAGTACTTTAAAATTTATTAAATAATTTTTTATAGTTTAATTTTAATTTATTTAATTGATTATATAATTTAATTATATGTATAATAATCAATTTTAATAAAATTTTAATAAATTATTAAAAAACCATTTTTTTGAACTCGTCATTATTATCATTGAAATGAATAATAGTTATTTATTTTTTATGAAAGCTTCAGAAAAAATCGTTCAAAAAAAATGCGATAATTGTCAATCAAAATTTTATATAAGAAGTTGTAAAATTTGTAAAATTTGTCGTAAAAATAAATCAAAAAGAAAATTAAAACTAAAATTTGTGAAACTTGTTTAAAAACCTTTAAAACATTTAATGACTTCAAATTTTGTCGACTGTGTTACAACAAAGAAATGAAAAAACAACAAACAATATCATGATTCAAATAAGAAAAACAAAATCATTCGTTATTTACCACCAAAAGTTATTTATAATATTTTTAATTTTATTAATGAACCAAAAAAATTTCAAAAATTTTCGTTAGTAAACAAAGAATGGCAAAAAACATTAGATAATCATGATTTTTGGGATAATCATATCAAACATTTAAAATTTAAAAAAATGAAAGGAAAATCACCAAAAAAAGTATTCGTTAAAAATATTTCAAAATTATGTTATTGTAAACAAAATATTAAAATTAACAACAAAGAAATTAAATTAATCAATAAACGAATGCAATTTATCGAAGATTTTTGTGAAGATAGAGAAGCTTATTATTCATATTCGTTTATGAAAAACTTGATTAATGATAATTTAAATATTGTTAAAATAATTTTGAAGGATAGTAAAAATTCATTTAAATGTGAAAATTGTAATAATTTAAATGATTTATTAAAATTAATTGAGAATATAAAAAATGATATTTGAAAAAAAATTAGTTATCATAAAAAAGAAAAGGGTAAAGATCTAAATAATTGGTTTTATGAAAATTATATTAATATAATGTTATATAATATTCGTAGAATTAGTAACAATGAAAGTGTTTTTATTGAAAGATTAAAAATTTATAATGATAAATTTTATTCTAATCCTGAAAAATATCATAACCAACAAAAATTTATTAAGAAATATTGATTAAATAAATTATTTCAAAATGTATCTAAATTAATTTCCATTTCATTTAATAAAATAAGAAAGATAAAAAATAATATTCAATTCATAATAATAAATATTAAACTTATAATTACTCTTTCTCGTTTAATTTTTTTCTCTTAGATTTATCCTTAATTTCATCAAATAAAAAAATTTTTTGACCTTCTAATTGACTTACATTTTCAATGTTATAATAACTACCATCTTCAGTTTCCCAATCTTCAAAACAAATAATTTTATTACTTTCATCATCACCAGAAAAGACATCTTCAATATTATCATAATCAATTTTACACGAATTATCGTTACAATCCATATACTTAATTTTGTTTTCGTAAAAAAATACAGCGTATAAATTTCCATCTTTAACAATTATTTTAAGTTCATTGTTGCAAAATTTAATATTATTATTTTCATCTCGATGAAAATAAATATTTCCATTGATAAATTTTTTTTCTTGGATAATTAATTCGTCATCGTTATTTTTAATAATTTTATTAACTTCAGCATAAAAACCAAAAGTAAATATAAGAAGGAAAAATAAAACGTATAAAATAACAAATTTCATATTGAAGGTAAGGAAAAAAATAGAAAATCAACCGTTTAAATAGAAAATATTTTATCATTATCAAAAACAAATTTAAAGTATAATTTTATTAAATTTATTAACGATCAACAATTTATACATTTACTTTAACTTGACTCAGGGAAAATAACTCAATTTAACTGATTCAGAAATAACTCAGATATTAACGATCAACAATTTATACATTTACTTTAACTTAAAGAAAAATAATTTAATTGACTCAGAGAAATAACTCAGAGAAATCATTTATTAACGGTCAACATTTACTTTAACTTAACTCAGGAAAAATAACTCAGAGAAATAAATTTATTTTATACTTCAAATCCTAAATTAGCAATTTCCATTAAATCTATATCATCATTAATTTCTATTTTTCTTCTTACTAGATAATCCCATATTTTTTCTAAATAAATCTTTTTATTATCGTTTTTTTTTAATTGTTTAACTAATATATTATATAATTTAATTTCATTCTCATATGTGATATCTACTTTTAAAATACTTTTATAATCTTTCATTATTTGTTTAATATTCTCTTCGTTATAACTATTTCCAGGTATACAAAAATCTAAAATTCCTTGACTTTTACATATTGTTGGAACTTTTTTATTTTGAAATTTTTTAAAATTA